ACGACCACGACCACTACCACGACCACGACCACGACCACGACCACGACCACGACCACGACCACGATCACCACCACCCCCTCTTCTGCTACTACTACTACTACTACTACCACTACTACCTACTACTACTACTACTACTACTACTACTACTGCTACTACTACTACTACTACTACTACATACCACATACCACCACCACCACCACCACCGCCACAATCATACTAACCCCACTATTCAGAGCAATTTTGTAGACTTACTACTAGTAAGCAGTATCACTACTGTTCGTACTGTTTTAGGATTTAGGGCAAGCAGCAGTATCGGGCCTGCTAAGCAGTCTATGGCAGCTTGCCTAGCAGCAAGGAGTCCTAGCTGCAAGAAGGACTAGTCAGACATCTACTGGAAGAGCAGTAGTAGTGAGTTGCTGTCCAAGAAAAATGTTGCACCGGCACTTTAGGAAACAGAGATTTAACGCTTTGCAGGACAATTTTCGAGACTCCGAGGCCTGTAGCGCCTGTACCCCCGAGACACAAACGACGGTCATTTCAGGCGCCACCGGCAAAGAAGACTCGCACTCAGAATCTGCAGTGCCGCTTTATGTTAGCATTGGCTTGCTTTTGGGCTGCATGTCCGAAATCGGTCGGGAAGGAGATGGGAGTGGTGATAACTGGGATTGAGGTGGATTCAAAGCCCTTGCCTCTCGTGGCAAGTTCTAATCGCCCATGCCACGGCACACATCCATCCATGCATACTAAGACGCACGCAGTAGAAAAGGTTCGCAGATGAAGCGTCGACCGCCGCGTCCACACCGGAGATGGGCCCGAGCACGTCTCCCGAGGCAAGCCGGCAGTTGCCCGAAGGCTCCAAGTGAGCAAGGAACACTGTAACACCTCCATAGATTAAATAGCTTTAAAACGCAATGTGATTTCGGGGATGGGTGAATGAAGGGGTGCGCTGAATGAAGGGGTTTATGTTAAACAGGAACAACTTTGTGGATTGAGGACCTTAAACCGTATGGAGCATTATCCTGATGCTCAGCATGTCGCTTTCGTGTCACATGGCCTTGGCCTTAGCACGCGGGTTCAACAAATTGTGTAGGATCCTCTCAGGTTTCTGATCGGGGCAAGAGTGGGTTCGGGAGAGAGAGGAAAGACAGAGAGAGAGAGAGAGAGAGAGACAGAGAGAGAGAGACAGAGACACAGACAGAGACAGAGACAGAGAGAGAGAGAGAGACATCCCCCTGCCCCTAACCCTGACGAACCAAAGAGAGGCGACATGTCGAAGAACCCCGCAAGCTTTTCCGTTGTTCGAAGACGGCGGATCCAACTCGATGCACAACAGAGCAGTGTGCCACGGGCCACCGCGAGGTTGAGCTCGGTTCGTTTGGAAGTTCGCTAGGCGCGGGACCACGCTCATCACTCCGACCTGTGGCAGCTGCCTATCAAGGAGTTGAAGGCTCGGCTTCTTGGGATGTGTACAAAATTTCTCGCTGTTTCAGGCAACAGTGCAGGAGCCCTTGTGGCAGAGTTTTGCGGCCGAAACCATGATCCTTCTGGCGTGCAGAGACGGGTGACCGCAAACCCAACCCTGTATGTCATGGGCCAAATTGTTGTCGGGTCCACTTCCCATTTTGGAGGCGCGGCTGGAGTCCCAAGGCAGCAGCATCACTGGTGTCACCGAGCCTTGTCTTACGCTCTAAGCTCGCGGTATTGGAGCTGTGTGACCGCAGCGAGGTTTCAGTTTTGACTTGTTCGTTCTTGTCCTGGATCCCAGGAAAAGACGGAGTTGATCTTGATGCTGGAACAGCTGCTTCGGCAGAGTTTGGAGATGAGGTTCACCTCCAGGGCTTGGCTTTGTTTTGCCCTGAAGGACCGACTCCAAAGTGATGTACTGGTATAGACTCAGGCCTGGTATAGACTCAGGCGCCCACATATCAAGTAGTAGTCCATGGGCCGCCTTGCTCTGGTAACTCTGGTACATGCAGAAATGTCTGCGCAGCATTCATTCCCTGTGCTCATGGCACCGTGAGGCTGAGCCCAGCGCCCGCCACGGAGAGCGTTCCGCCGTTTGAGCTCTGAGTTTTGTGCACATGCCAGGCATGTTGGAAGGAATCAGCTTCATGCATCCCTCAAGTCAGAAACAAATGGACGTCTGAGGGTAGCAATGAACAATTCAGCCCTGAAGCAGTAAACTCGATTCGGCATTCGACAACAGCTTCCGGATTGTGCACAAGGCCATGCTTTCAATGTACAGAAGTTTGGGTTCCCGGAAGGGGCCCAACGGGGACACAGCCACCAGTGCCCAACATCATTCACAGATATGTCCTTGGGGTGTTCTTGGGACTTCACCTGTCTCCCTTGAACAACCAGGTGGTCCACATGTTTAAATAGCAGACGGGCATGTCTGGGCGCAACGCACTGGTGAGCGTTCGCCTTCGTATACTGCCATGGATTTATCGGAAAGCCCAAGGCGGCACACAACATGCGTGGGTTTAGGGGTGGAAGTATTTCGGGGTTTCAGCCCTTCGAGATCAACTGTGATAAACTTCACAGGAACTGACGACATGCTCCCACGTGTTGCGCCAAGACAGCCCCCATGCACTTGGGGAGTTTCAGAACATGCGTGGAAAACTATCAACCCCAAGACCCCAAGTAGTACTCGTAGGTGTCAATAGGGATCATGACAAAACGAGGTCATGGTTCCTTTGGTAAGGGCCCCAAGGAATAGGCGACGCTTAGTACTCTGAAACCCGATGTGTAGTGCTTGTCGTACGCTTAGCACCGACAGATTTCAAGCGCCGGCTTCGCCCCATTACCGAATGGGCAGATGCTAAGTGACAACGACAGGACCGAGAGCAGCAAAGAAGCTTGAGCTCTATGGCTTTATGCCATGGGTTCAGGGTTTGGATCTTGGGGGCATGGTTGCTTGCTGGTCGGTGTTGATCACAGCAATGCTGTGGACGGGTTCCTCGCGGTGTAATTATGTTCCACGCCTCCTCACAAAGGATTATGGGAGTAACTCATGCAGTGGTAGTCGCCTCGGTATTGACCAGACTTCGTGACTCCGCGATTAAGCTTATGGCGCATGTGCAGGGCTCCATGGAGCCGTCATCAGTGACTCAGTTGTCAGGCCCAGGCAACTCAGACTAAGCAATCCTGCGTGCCTCGTGTGAGCCATCTGGTAAGCTCAAGCTCAAGTCGCGGTCGCGCCTGCTGAATTCCTGCAAGCTTCTACCCGAAAGAGCTGCTCGACCTGGGCTGATTCAGAATCTCTGGTGTTTAAAATCTGAGGTACGATCTTTCGGAGAGCAACTGTATGCAGGGTTGGCCATGTCTTGACCCAGGTACTGCAAGGAGAGAAAACTTAAGAGCTAAACCCTAAACCCGAAGCCCATGTCTGCCCTGTGCGAGTGTGTGTGAGTCGAAACCCGAACAGCCTGTCAAGCGCCATTGTCACGCAGCAGCTGAGAGTAGAATCCAGACGCTTGACAGCCAAAGGCCATGGTGAAGCGAGATGCAGCCCACCTGCAGTCCGAGCACGCCGACGTGCACCAGGAGGTGCATTCGGCATCCTGGGTCGGTTTCAGTTCTTGGATGGATGGATGGATGGATGGATGGATGGATCCAGAAAAAGAATCTTAAATTGACAAATCCGAAACTCCTGCCTGTGCACTCCAGCTCCCCCTCGAACAGCAGGCCGCGAGATTCTGAGACCCATTCCCATGTCCAGGACTTGCATCCACCGAAGAAGCCGGAAACTTGGACTGTTGTCACGCTGTGAGCAAGCTGAGAGAGGGGCCCGGAAAGCATGAACCCGACCTGATTATCAAGCAGCCTCTACTGTAGCCTTCTAGATTACACTTTGCTGAGCAGGGCTTTGGATGAAACGAACTAGCCCATTGCTGATCATTGCTGTGGAAGTGTGGCAATAGATCTTGCTCGGACACATTCGCTCCTTAGCATGTCGCCCCAGGTATTACGGTATTGTTTTGCTGCTTTGCTGGTGCACTTGCAAGTTTGCAGTGTCCAAAACCGGAGCTTGAGGCTTGTGTTTGTCTATCTGTTTCGGACAGTTCTTCCTGCAGATACCAATTCTTGCCGGGTCTTCCGACACTTTCAGCATTACGGGCAACTTGGTGGCAAAGTGCAGGCTCTCCACGCCGGAGATGAAGCGCAGCGCATCCCCTGAGGCGTGCACAAGACCCCAAGAGCAAAGGACGGAATGTAGCATACAACTCGGATAGTTGATGCAGGTCAAGCCGTGAATTCTCGGATCTTTTTCCAACATCCTGGAGATGGCAGGCCCGAGACCATGCGCACCACTCTTGCCTCTGGCAAGTTCCCGTGAAGGACCTCAAGGCCTCCGAACTTCGGTGGGGCCGAGGCATGTCGCCCTCAGGAATGTTGAAGCTTGATGAAGCCTGAGATGCTCGTAATATCAAGTAATGCTGTCCTTGTTCCTTCTTGTAGTTTCAATGTTTTTACAGGCATATAGTGTTATAACGTACCAAAAGACTCGATTCCCAAAATTGAGGCTCCTATGTCCGCCGCAAGTCGACGGGTTGAGATCCAGACCAGCTTTGTGCTAAGCCAGCAGACTATTTCCAGCATCCAGAATCCTAAGCCCTATAAACTTAAACCATCTTAAACTTTTGCCTCGTGCCGCAGCCATCGTCTGTGCAAATCAGGTCTTCCATATCCTTAGGACCCCACTGCTCTTCCCAATGTCGGCCGGGCGAGTCTTGGCACTTCTGAAGTTGGCAGCCGTGTCCGCCGCTTTGCGACATGGCAGTGTGCCTGGTGGTCAAGCAGAAAGGAAGCAGCCAGCTTGGCAGACGGGGCGCGACCTGGCATGGTTGAACGTGTCCCGGCCGCAATCGGCCTCGATGGTGGACATCGGGAAGCCAGATACCTACCGTCTAATCGACAGTGTTTTCTGGTCGGCGCAAGGCACCGCGATGCGAAGGTTTGCCGATGCAGCCATGCCGTGGTATCTCAAGCGTTTCGGCACCGCCAGCGACAGGCGCGAGTACCTGTTCGCGGTAAACCTCCGCTGGCTGTCTGAAAACCGTGTCAAAGCTGCTAGCGCCGCCGTTGCAGTGGTCGCAGGAAGCACTGCAGTCGCCTACTGGTACCACAAAAGCAGAGTCAGGGCGAGGGCTCTCCAGCAAGCACGCCAAGACATGGAGAAGCTGTCGACAGAGGAGGCAGTCTTGATTGCGGAGAAGGCGGAGGGGCAACGTTTGGAAGACGAGGCCCTGTGGTCAGCCCAGGCATTGATACTCGCTGCGGCTATGCGAGGAGACTGCGAAGTGCGATGGTGGAGGTCGAAGGTTAGCCTCTCAGAGAAGGAGATCGTTCAATATTTACGTCGTCCACAAGAATCCGTGCAGGCCTGCGCCACGAAGGGTCCCATGCTGGCCAGGTGCTATGAGAGACCCGTGCAGCAGCTGTCCTGGACTCGTGCTGAGGAGCTTGTGCCCCAATTAAGTCTTCTCGGCATCCAGTGGGACAACTACACCGCGTTGGCAGAGTGATTGGCCGATTCAGGGCCAAATTCAGGGTCTTATATGATTTGGGCAAGTTACGGCGAAGATCAGCATGAAGAGGTCCAGAACTGCACAAGCGAGGGATGCTCGCAAGAAAAGGAGCCCTTTACTTTGGATGTGAGTTGCCGAATGTGGCAGGCTAGTTTTCCCTTGTACCTGATGCAAGGGAGGGGCTCTGCTAGGATCTTGGACAGATTCAGGGAATCAATCTTGGCTGTGGGTCTCTTACATGTTTGTGCTGGGTTATTGTCTGCGTTCTGCTTTCACATGCACATGGCCTCTCATGTGAGATCTGTGCGAGTTGTGCGAGTCGGACCATCCTAAACCCTAAAGCCCCACGGTGGATAGAATGCTCTGCTTGACCAGGCATGGCTCACGACCTTGGGTGCTGACATCAAAGGCACCACGGGATGGCATGGACGGGACCACAGTAATACTCGGGTAGCGGGGTTTAGAGGGGTAGGCTGAAGGCTTCTGACACATGTTGGGCTGCAGCAGAGCGAGCAAGTTTGGGGCAGCTGTTCTTGGCTTGCCCGCTTTGGCGCCGCGTGCTTCCGACTAAATTTCTGGTGCGTTTGGGCCAATGGGTTTCGGTTTAGGCTTTGCGCTTGTTGCTCTGTCCATGGGCAGGCATCACCGAAAAGACCGAGCTCATACTGCTGCTGGAGCAGTTTGAAGCTCAGCATGGCACTGCCCGGGGATGTCTAGGGCAGCTTAGAGCTTCTTTGTTGGAAGGTTCTCCGTAACTCGGCTGTTCTTTGCTTCCATGTATGTGGTCTCTGATTTTAATTTGGTTTTGCCCGTATATGTCAAGGAGGCCCAATTCAGATCGAGACGACAGCAAAAGAAAGCCGCTTTTTTGGCAAGATGACAGGTTGCACCCCGAGTTTGTGGAGGACATCTTCCCGCAAGCTCCTCACTCTAAGCCTTAAGCTCTGAAGGGAAGCAGTACCAAAGGGTCAGTGTACAGCCATCGATGATCTCGCTGCTTCATTAGGGCTTCGAGCCATTTTTGCACTCGCCTTATTCCGCGAGTCTGTACAGTTGAGGGCCTCTTCCTCCAGGCCGGGCCGGGACATCCTGCAGAGCCAGTGCCCACCCATAGGCTCCATAGTAGTTCCTGTTTGTGGTTCATATTTGGGATCTTATAAGGTAATCCCATAAACGGAACTACTTTGGAGCCTTATGGGTAAAGATTGCAGGACCCAGGCCCCAAGTTTCAAGAGCAGACGGGTCTTTGCCACTGAGCTGCGCGGACGGCGATGACTGGAAGATGATACCTTTAAAGGTGTCGCGAGTACAATGCCTCTAGAGCATCAGGCAACCTCCAGTTCCGCAGCTCTTCACAGTTATTTTCAGGAATATTGCCAGAAGCATAAATACGCCAGCGTGCTCAAAGGCGTGGCGCCAAGCCCCAACGCATCCCAGCTTTAAAAAATTCTGCTTGTCGCATGCTTGACACCGACAGATTTCAAGCGTCGGCCCATGCCCCTTACCGACCGGGGGATGTTAAGTGACAGCGGCAGGACGGGGAGCAAAAGAAGCGTGACGGGAGCGCTGTGTTCTGGCTGGTGCCAAACACACCCCTAAACCGTAAACCTCTAAACTCTAATGCCTAAACCCTAAGCCTAAACCCCTCCGCCTATAAACCCCTAAACCCTAACATATAAACCCTCATCAAACCCTAGTCGTGCAGGACCCAGCCCGGACTCCGTGCCAGCCCAGACGGAAAGTACAGCAGCAGCAGAATCGCAACAGTCACGCGCATGGCATGTGCAGCGATTAGGGGTTTAGGGCTTAGGGTTTGCGGGGAAGACTTCCGTTCCAAGCCTTGTAGCCTCAAACCTCACGTACCCCACTATGGTTGCATCCTCGTACCCGCTTCTCGGAGGTGTCCGTTTGTTTGGTGGACTCAACAGGTACGTTGAGAATGAACCTCGGGCCATGTTTGACGGGACGGTTTATGGACTGCAAAGAAGTTAGGATCGTTACTGGAGGATGTGTTGCTGCTTCAATTTCGCCCAAACGCTTGTGCAATCTAAATCTGAAACCCCCGTGTAGCTCAAGCTGGGTTCTTGGTAGCCGGAAGCCAGTGCAGACGTCGTCGTGCCATCAGCACCTGGGCACGAGCAGCTTAACCTGGCAACCCGCGAGCTTAATGGAGGAATGGTTCCTTGAATTTAGGGGGTCGTACTGTTATTGTAGTCTGAAGTTTATATTTCAGTTACGGCCCATTGTGCTTTCTGATTCTGGGCACAGGTCTGAGAGGAACGGCTTTGGAATCGGAGCCCTGTCCGAGTGGCAAGGGTGTTGCTTGCGCAGAGTAGTGGGTTTGCGATCAGACCTTGGGACCACTGTACATACATACTCACTACTATACTATACTATACTATACTATACTATACTATACTGTGCTGTACCGTACTGTACTATACTATACTACATAGTAAATTATAATGACTCTTGTTGTTACTATCAAGTTTTGGATTGTTCGTTTAGATTATCATTAACAGATGAATACTGTAACAATGTTAGATTGTTATCATCATTAGATTATTATCATCAACAGTAGTTGATTAGATATTGCAACAGACTTTCCTCAGGCTCAGGAGCTCCCTGGCTGCACAGACAATGGACTTGTAAGTGGTGGGGTCTCTTAGTCTAGGCAGGGCGGAGGATATTACATCATGTTCTGTTCTATATTATATTAGACTGTACTTTAAATGTTATTAGATCATGTTACGTATGTATTATATATATATATATTATATATATAATATATATATATAGTATTCTACATGAGATGATATTATTTCGTACGATACTAGACTATCCTAGGAGGCATTGGTATGGAGGCCTCATTCGCCTTGTGGGCAGTGCTTTCGTGTCGTTTGATTGCTACCCACATCGGATTGATGTCAATCCTGGCATCCTGCAAACACTCGGCAAGCGCGCGCCAGCGGGGGAGGCTTCTGCACATAAGACCCGAGCAACGGCTCCGCGCAGAAAGTTAGCCATTGGGCATGTATGCATAACATAACACACACATATACATGTGTGTACATATATATATATACATACATATACACATACATGCAGTTTACAGATACATACCTATATATATATATGTACATATATTGACATAGACTGTAGTATCTTTAATCATGGTATACTATAAAAGTACCTTGTATACTTCAGTATCCTACAAGACAATATGATACAGTATAACAGTGCAATATAATATAGGGTCATGTAATGCAACATAGCGTAATACAATACATAACAGTAACGTCTAGTTTAGTGCATTCTAACACATAAGACAGTACAGAGCAATGTACAGTTCTTGTATGAAGCAATGTAATGTACGGTCATACAATACATCAAAAAAGAAGACATTTACAACAATGTAATGCAGTATAACAACACAGTACGACACAGCACAATATGATACACCACAATATACTAGAATCTAATCCGATATTAATAATGGAGTATAACATAGTACGGCAGAAAGGAATCCACATACATAATATATATATATATATTTATTTATTTTTTTATATTTGTATGTATTTGTTTATGTCATAATATAATTGCAGCGTAATATACTATAGTATATCCTACTTCAATACCGCATGCCCTTGTATTTTCAATATACGAGTGTTCAAAACAATGTTACAATCCGTCACACAAACAATGTTCTCTAGTACGGTAGAACATGTTAGAATAATAGTATGTTGTAATCTAGCACAACCTATAATGCATTACCGTATCCAGCGTACACACACACTTCATCTAATTTGTCTGTACAATAACATATGATGCAAAAAAATCTGGCTTCGAGCCTAAGGCGATGGTGAAGCGTGATTCAGCGCACTTGCAGTCCCAGCACGCCGACGTGCACCAGGCGGAATGGCAGATGTGGATGCGGACTCGGGTTCAACGCCGGGACGCCTTTTAGTGTGTTGGGATGGGGACGAGATGTGCTGAGCGGAACTCATGTGCATTTGTGCTGCTGCGAAGTTCACGCAGTGGATCACTCGACACGCCAGCGTCGTATTTGCGCGATCCAGAATTTTAGCAAGGACTTGATCCTCAATCCAGCGTCTAAGTGTGCAGGATTTGCATCCATGGAAGAAGCCTGGAACTTGGATCGTCTCCAGAGCTCGGAAGCCGTGAGCCATGAAGACGTTGGCTTGGCTTTCAAGGTTTGCTTCGCACTCGCCGACCCCGGCCTCACCTGAGCTGCTGGGCGCATGGAGATTATAGGTGATGATAATAGTAATAATAAGAACATAAGACTGATATTAGTAAGAAACATGTTAAGAATAGCATTGCTAACATTTGAGGAGATAAGAACAGCAGTGTTGAGAATCGGAAGAAGCCACCTTGAGAGCGTTTGAGAGCCATGGGTTCGGCACCAAGCCACACAATGTCCGACAAGGGCCTAAACCCTAAACCCCTAAACCCTAAGCCCTAAACCCAAGACAAGGGCGGGAGGCCAAGCTCCGAGTCCAGGCCCCGAGGATCAGAGTCTGCTTGTCTCCACAGCGCTGGGTCGAAGCCAATGACGAAAGACTGGGTTCCGGCTAAGGGGTTTTTATTTAAGTTACCAGAATGGGGATCTATAGTCAACAGTATGTAGGGTTTCCTTATCATGGTAACCTAAATTAAATCCCTTAACAAGAACCCGACCCTGCATCGTAGGTTCGTCCTAGCCAGGCGGGAGGCAAAAAGCAAGAACCCAGAAGAGGTGTCAGAGGATGAGGCGATCGCCGAGATGCAGTGCGACGGCAGTGTAAGGCACCACTCCTTAAAGGGGACCCTTCTACTTCTGGCTCTCTTAAAAGGGACCTTATTGAGAGGGTCTATATCCCCAAGGGTCCCCCTAATCCCAACTCCTGGTAAGGCACCACTAGTCGGCTCACAAGGCCCAGGTCCGAAGCCTGAGCTCCTCTTGTCAGGTGTCGGTTTCATGTTTCAGGCTT